CCTATTATGCATGTCTTGTATTGGCTGTCATTTCATTCACTATTAATGTAATACTAATCGCTTTAATCGTTTACTTCAAGAGAAAAGTGTGAGTATTGTGTCATTTATTATATTAAATAAATTGATTTTATAATAACTAATAAAATGTTAATTTGTTTGCATTTGCAGTCCATTGATGTCCAATGTTTTGGCAAAATTCAGAAGAGGTAGAGAAGAGGTATACCTGAAGGGAGACTCAAATGAATGGCGATTTATGATTGAATTCTCACCATTTTATTCATAATTATATCGATATTTTTGTTATAAAACATATGATAATTAAAAATATATTGTATATTAAGGCACTAAATGACACTGATGTATCAAATTAATAATATATTAAATAACATTTAATTGGAGAATATTTTGATGTTTTATTTCCCAGTTTTTCTATTTTGGGACAACTTTTCAAACTTCTCGCGAATACTACGTATACTTCCGTTCGAGACATTAGACTCAGTATTACGTCATATACTACTCGAAACCCTCTTAGGGATGGCACCTATTCATTGTAAACATAATTAACTATTCTTGCTCAATTACAAATTAAACTAGATTACCTGTATTTGTTGCCGGTTTTATATTTGTAGGTTGTGGTGAGGTTGGATTTACATTGCTTATTTTGTCTATTTTTAATTTATATGTTATAATCTTTTTAAAAAGCAAATAATCTTCGGAATTGTGTTGAGCTATGAATTTATGAAATTCATTAATATTTGAGTCAATAAAGTCCTTGTTAAGTGACCATGTATTTTTATATACTATATCAGTGCATTCAGGTCTATCGTATGAAACGTAGTTAACCATTGACCTAAAAACACCTAGTATATTTTTAAAGCTTTCGTGTAGTGGTGTGTTTGTATATTTAACCAGTTCACTTCCACTAAAAACAATTATTAATGTTTTAAAAATAAAATTATAAATACAATTATTATACTTTTATATTCAATACTTACTCTAATATATCAAACAATTCCATCGAAATTATACCCAAACTATAAATATCTGCTTTTGTAGAATACTTTGATTGGTCTAACTCTGGTGCCATATATTTAGGAGTTCCCTTATTTTTTGAGTGGCTCTGTGTTTCCGTCCGGTGCTCGACAGCCAAACCAAAGTCACATAACTTAATAAATCTACCGTTCCTTACATGTTTGGCAATCAATATGTTTTCTGGTTTGAGGTCTCTGTGAATAATCTGTGGATTCAATTCATGCAAATACTGAACACTTTCTAAGATTTGTCGCAATATTTCACACGAAATGAAATACTCGACACAATCCATGGCTTCTCCTATTTGTCGCCCAAATACTTGTGGTTTCACTTCAAGAATATTCCGCAGATTCTGTGAACAGAACT